TCCCCCCATCCCCCTCCCATCCCCTCCTCCTCCTCCATCATCACCTGTTCGATCAAGGTTTCCCTTGCCTTGTGTGCGTCCCGGCGGACAGAGCTCGGGTCCAGCCCACAGGAGGAAATCGCCTGCCATGGTGTCACCCCCATTGACCTCGACCCTTCCCCGATTGTCAAGCAGTCAAGACAGCGGCAGCACCTCTGTCGCTAAATCGTCGTCTAAGTCCAGGTACGTGAAGGACCTCCCATCATCGTCTGTTCCGTCCATGAGCACGAGAGGAGGAGAGGAGGAGATCGTCCCACCCTGGTCGTACAGCACGACCTTCATGTCGATCAGGTCAACTATCCCAACAAACGAAGCGCACTTCCCCAGGGGCAGTTGCAAGATCTGCAAGGAATCGAAAGGTCAAAAGCGAGCCCAGCGCACATGAGGAGGAGAAGGGAAGCGTGCATGGGAGAACAGTGAAGGAAGCGGGGGGGTCGGGGGGGGAGGCGGAACGAACCAGAGGAACGCATTTCATACGGTCTATCAGCCCCTTCACTGTGATGTCAAGATCTGCTCCCTCCCGGTCCAGCTTGTTGACAAACACGAGACGGGGGACATGATATCTGTTCGCCTGCGTGCATCGACGTCAGCGGCCGCCCGCCGTTCTGCATGCCTGCATGCCTGTCGCCAGACTGTCTCGCTCTGACAAGCACAGTCCTGTCAGTTTTGTTGATCCCTCGCAGCACAGCGGATGACCTGAGCCTCCACGCCTGCTACGCCGTCGAAGACCGCTACAGCCCCGTCCAACACCCGCAAACTCCTCTCAACCTGAAAGCCTCTTGCGTGAGCAAAAACAAGGAGATGGGGGAGAAGGAAGGAGAGGGGAGGAGGGCGGGCATACCTCGATGGTGAAGTCGACATGTCCGGGGGTATCGATGAGGTTGATGTTGTAGTCTGTGCGGGGCAGTGAGGAGTAACCGGGTAGGAGGAACTACGATGGGGCCTGCCTTTCCACTTGAAGGTAATGGAAGCTGCCTGGATAGTGATCCCCCTCTCTCGCTCCTGAGACCTCTGGCGGTCAGATGCTCTAGCTGACGCTGCGCACGAGGACGGGGAAGGGGTACATGTAGGTGGGGAGGAGAGGGGTGGTCACCTGATCCATGAAGTCCATGATGGTGTCGCCCTCATGGACCTCCCCAAACCTGCGGATGGGTGAGGGGAGAGAAGCGACGGGTCAGGCAGCGCTGCTTCACTTTCTCGTGACGTCAGCGTAGAAGAGCATCCGCTCTGTAACCTAGGAGATTGTGTGTCATGCCCGCTGCAGTCGCTGAGCTCGAGTGCACACCGTTGTCTTCCCAGCGTCGATGTGCGCCATGATCCCCACGTTCCTGATCCTCGCAAGCTGCTTGTCCTCCGCTGCCACTGACACGCCCCAGTCACACAGAGAGGGACCCACTCGACACCACCTTTGGAGGAGAACGTTCTGCCCAGACGAGGCAGTCGAGACAGCAGGCTCGTTCTAGGTCCCAACAGACTTGCTAGCGGCCTTATCCTCGATAAGTCCACCCATAGCCTCGAGCATATGCTGACGGCAGGCTCAGATAGGACGGCGCACACTGTCACGCGCAAGCTCGAAGCGCATCATCTCCTTCACTCGTCTGTTCCTTCCCTCCCTCCCCCTCCCTCCCCACAGTTTCGTCCTCACCTTCTCGCTGCCATGCCTAAGGATCCAGTCGCGACCATCCCTCGTCCCCACTCTGACCCGACCGATCATCGGATTGAGAGGCTCTGCACTGAGTCACGCCCGGGCCACTGACTCCCGTGCCCGGCGGCGCGCACTGGTGACTGAGGCTGCCGTAGTGCGGCGTGCCCTCGGCGCGCGGCCCGGCCCGGCGCCGCCGACTCACGGTCGCCGAGTCGGGCGCGCGGCCGGGGGAGTCACCCCTGGTGACTGCGAGTCCGCCGGGGCAGTCACATGCCGGCGGCGGCGGGCGTCACTGACGGTCACGTTATTGGGCCACTGAGCCCGCCCCCCCCCCCCCGGCCCGGCGGGAGTGTGACTCCGGGTGACTGGCAGCCTGCCAGCGGTGCCCGCCCGGCCCCACTGAGCCGTGCCCGGGCCGGCCCCGTGCGGCGCCACGCCGCCGCGGGCCGCCGCGGGCGTTCTCGGAAGTTCCGGATGGCCCACTGCCCCATGCCGCCCGGGACTGACTCACCGTGACTCGGTGACCGTCGGCCCACTGTCCGAATCACTGTCACTGTCACTCGGACCGGCGTACTGGCATGCCATGATGCGCCCGGGTCTCACTGTCTGAACTGAGCCCCACCGTAACCAGGGCCTACCCGGCGACGCCCGGCCCGGTGCCACTGGGGCGCCGAAACTTGACCTGGCATGATCGGATTCAAGTCCGACCGTCACAGTGCCGCACTGTCGGAGTTTGCTTTTTCAAAAAATCAAATTGAAGCGGTGGCGGGAAAAATAAGTTCAGTAAATATTTCACTCAATCGTTTTTGTTATGATGAGGGCTCGAGGGGGTGCGTCCGCTCCGATGCGACCACAGACGTTTAGAAAACTTTTAGTTTTCGAAAATGTATTTTTTGAATAATGAATTTGTACCACGTTTTGGATCTTTCATAGAATCTCGATTTAAAAGTATTTTGAATCAACCCACACACGTTGCGGACCACAGACACCTATGTGATGATCCCACCCCACCATCCAGATGTCACTCCATGACCCCTACCACCTCCAAAGGCTTCTAATTACCCAGTTGTACCCCTTCAAGTCCAGCACCCTACCCTACTTATGTCGCAGAACTGAGCGGCTCCTTCACCCCACAAGATCAGCCCCGAATTGATCCCTATTCCTTTGAGCCTTTGGCGTCAGCCAGAGGGTTGCTACCTCCTAACCCATCAAGATCAAGTTTTCTATATATGCAGCAAAGGTTATTTTGAGACTCCTGGTACCCCTGCCTTGCGAATTACCATTGGTGCAAACCATCACCACCTTGCCACCCCACCCTTCGATGGTTTTACTTTACCACCCCGTGGGCAACACCCTTTTCTCATTGTACCCCTGTAGCCCTATCTTCACCCACCCTACATTCTGGGCAGCCCCCATTTTTCTTTACGTAGAGCATGATGACCCCTGGGAAAAACCATCACTACCCTTCTGACCAACGCAATGAAGTACCCCTACCCCCATATTTGGTCCTCAAAGAGCTCAGGTCATTCAATACTCTATAGAGGAACAAAATGAGTCTAAAACAACTATCAAATACTGTATGAGCCCATATCTTTCCCTCAATGTGTGAAATAAAATCTGAAATAGATTATACCCACCCCCAATTGTCATCCACCCACCATGTCCCATCGACTCTCCCACCTCTTGCCCCTCAATTCATGATCCCTACCCCACCCTCCTCCGTCTTTTCATTGTGACCACCCCGTGGGGTGCCCCACCCTCTACCCCCATTGAGGAGCAACTCCTTCCATTCATATCGCTCTCCATCACTTCTCGCTTCCCGTGCTTGCAGCGAAGGGCAGCGTCCTGACTTGTAAGCTCCGTCCTTGCGCAGCAGCTCACAAGGAGACGAGAGAGGAAGGTTGTGTGACTCTGCAACCTCCCTCCGTCATCCTTGCCTGTTCTACACGCCGTGCAGGGCAGTTGGCTGTTGACGTAACTCAAACAAGTCGCTTCAGAGTTTGTTGTCGTGGCTACGGGCTTTGTCTCTTGAGGGGAATCCATTGTGACAATTTTTCCTTGAGGCGTGCAAAGCAGGTAGGGACATCGTTGGGAGCAGTGGTAATTACCATCAGCATTACAAGGGTCATTTGAATTCCTAGCTGGCAAAATAATGTCTTTTGTTGGATGGGCTCTGAAAATGACTCTGTATGCTGGAGCTGGTGCAGCAGGACTCTTGATCCTACAAGCAGCATCAATTGGAGCTGATTTGCAAGTCGGCGCAATGTCGCAGGTAGCAAGAACGTTAAAGCGCATCGCAGAGAGACAGAGTGTTGAACAATGATCTGCCAAGTGGTTGTTTCAAAGCTTTGTAACTCCATGAGACGAAATTGTTGCATATCCGTGAGCCGAAATCTTGCAATTCGCATGCTACCCACACATTAACAAGACACTTTAGTGCTTCTAGATCTTCCCTTGACATGTTGACGATAATAATCAAATAAAAATTCTTGCATTTTGATACGAACTGTAATGCACTTGTAAAAAGAGTGATGAAAATATGAGATTTCTCTCCACAGCACAGATTTCATGGTCTCATTGAACTCGTCCTTGTCAGAGGATCTCTCGGAGAGAGAAGCCAGAGAGACAAAGGCAACGAAATTCCAATGCATGCGAGAAAAACGATTGAAACAATTTTCAAGCAAGCTGCATCCCAAGATAACTTGTAAAATGTGTTCATATATCTTAACGTTTTCGTCTGCTGCTAACGCGAATGTACCACAAATAAAATTCTGAAACTTTCAATCCACGATAGCGAAGGCCTCTCTCTCCAGCAACACCTCTATCGGCCGTGCATACCTGCTAGACATCGGAGGCCTCAACAACAATTGAACTTTGCTTCCAGGTGGCCCCAAAAGCTTCGATGCAATCTGTATCAAAACTCGTTTGAGCAGCAAGGAGGGAAAAGAACGGACAAGACAGTGCGGCACCTGCTCAATGGAGCTGTTAACGACTGGTTGACCATTGATGGCAACCTGTCAATGAGTTTAGGAGGGGAAAACTGATTATTCAAGGAAAACAAGAGATACCAGAGTCATTCCTCTCATATCGATCCCAGACTTCATCGCAGGTCCATTCATCTTCATGTCCGCGATCCTCAAACCTTGGCTGAAAGTGTTTCAGAAGGGAGAAACATCCCAGCCATAATCTTTCTTACTTGACGGAATCCGTCTCGAAGATCAATCCGACGCCACCAACACGATTCATTGTTTGGAACCTGGCGAAGCGAAGAAGGTAAACCTCATTCCTGATTCGGCTCTCTGCGCAGATATACCGATTGGGATCGGATTGGCTCTTTCCGAAAGAAGACGAATTCGGGAATAGTTCATCATCTGTTGATCCTCAGATGTGCGAAGAGAAATGACAATCACCTTTTGTCTCTTTCATCCCAGTATTCTTGTCTGGATTGCAACAGCACCATCCACTCTGTAACATGTTGTCTGCCAACACAAAACGTACTTCACCAAACCTCCAACGCAACAACATTCCATCGCTCACACCTCTCGAGCACTCCAGGTCCAGAGGAGCTAGCAAGAAGCTCTCAGGGGCGAAGCATGTACCAGAGCCAACAAGATCCTCCAAGCCTTCAGTCGCCTTGGTCAGTACATTGCCTCCCCAGGTCGGAGCGCCCCAGCTTCAATCAACAGACCCCACCCGCCTCAATGAGAACTTCAACACCACTACCCCCTGTTTCTGCTTTTAATACCCACCCTTACGAACACTCAATGACAACCCCACCCGTAGCAGTAAGAAACTCCGAAACAGTGCAGCCAACCTCTGCGCTGCAAGGAGCGTCATTACTGACTGGGTAACTCGTGAACACTGCCGTGTAGAGATCGTCGCCGAAGTGAAGTGACAAACAATGTGAGATGTTCCATCCCTTTATTAGTTTGAATATCCGATTCCTTCTCTGATAGACTGTTGACCACAAGTCACCGTCTAGTCAAACACTGGAGCGGTTTTCAAAGAAACCAAAAGATCAAAACGCGTTCTGACAACACAGCATCATCACAGCTTAGAAGTAAGTCTCGGTGGTGTTCTGGTGGATGGAGTGGCCGCCGCGGACGTTGTTGGCCGCGGTGTTGTTGTTGATGCTCTCGGTGGTTCCGGCGATAGAATGGTTGGTGATGTCAGCGCCACGGATGTTGTCCATGTTGGTGGTGTCCCACCACCTGGCGTTGATGGCAGAGCCGTTGGTGAACATGCCCTGGTTGCTTCCAGTCATGGAGTAGGAGACGGTGCTGTTGGAGTCGGACAACCAGGCCTTGGCTCCAGGGGCCTCACCGCTGGCGTTCCATCCTTGGGCGCCAGGAGAGTTGGTGTAGTCACCATTAGCGTCGGCGACAGAGACGTTCAAGTGAGCAGCTCCGAAGTTGAGGCCGGAGTCCTCGGTGCCAATGTTGAAGTAGACTCCGCAGGAGTTGGATCCAACGCAGGAGCTGAGGGCCTGGAAGTGATGGATGGTCTCGAACATCTGGGATGAAACGAATGTGAGTCTCGGCAAGGCGCTGCAACACATGGAGATGAAGGTAGGGAAAGTGAAGGTGGGGGAGGTGAAAGAAAGAGTCTTGGATTTGTGTGTCTTAGTTGCATGCGTGATGAATCTAGCGGGGGGGATGCAATTCAAGGAATCGAGTGTATGAAGACAGCGGCAACTTCTCTTTGGGTGTCCACCGAGTTTGCATCTCGATTTCTGGATTCCTGCACTCGGTACAAACCTCAAATCACAAAACTTTCAAAATCCTCCGAGGCTTCTACACCACTGCCACCCGGTGACCCAAGATAGCCTAGTAGATCACATCCTCAAACCTCCGCCGGGAACATTATTCAACCTTCCCTCAACCAGAGTTCTTCCTTCATGGTCCCCCTCCCGGCATAGGAGGTCTACCGGTCGCTCACTGTCACTGCGGCATGCCGTACCGTACCGTGGAACGATTCTTGACAGTGACGCCGGTGATTCCTCGGGCAACCACAAATAGATCACTGTCATTTGACTCCAACGCCTCGTACTGATTTTTCACTTAACGTCGGTGGCACCGTGGGTGGCGGCCCCGGCGCCGGACCGGTGTGACGCCGTTCAGAGCCAGAGTCGGCGGTCCGGCGACGGGCCCCCGCCGCGCGGCCCGACCCGGGCGGCCCGGGCGCCGGGCGCCGCGCCGGGCGCGGCCGCCTGCCGCGGCCGGGCGCCGGGAGTCCGGCATCCCTGCCACCGCTGCGCGGCGCCCGCGGCCATCTCACCAAGTGTGTCACAGGCTAAGCGGCGGATCCGATCGGACAGTGGGCCTGGCAAGCGGCAGGCTCCTCCGAGCCCGCCCGGTCACCGCGGTTGAACTTTCAAGGGCCTACCTACACTGCGGCACGTTGAACCGTACTGAGTCGGACCCGCCGACCGCCGCCGGGTACTACCGGCCGGCGGCGTGTACGGTCAGAGTGACACTTCAGGCTTTGCCAGATCGGACTCCCCGGCGCCGCCAACCGTCGGTCGCCCGGCGGGGGCCCGGGCGCCCGGTTCAACCGTTGCCAAGTTTGTCCGAACGGGTTACTCACTGACTCAGTGTGTGACGGTGGCACCCGGCGGGCCGGGCCGTCACCGTCACGCCGGTGGCACGCCGGTAATCAGGCTCCATGCATCTACTCCAACTCAGTTTCCCTGTCATGCATCGCAGATAGCTTATTGCAACTTGCCAATCCGTATCCCTGAGTGATGGTGGTTTTCACAGGCTTGTATTGTTGATGCTCTTCGCTCACCAAACGATTTTTCGCCGGTGAGATTCACGACTCCTCAAGGATCATCATCCGAGTCTCTACACAATTTCCCATGAGGATGTTCGGTGAACATCTGATGTCAGTGCGGCACACGCTGCCGCGGGCTCGCTGTTTGCGAGCCATGGTTACTAGCAGTACAGAGCCCCGCCGCGGGTGCGACGTGCCCCGAACTGGCAAGGGGAGCCTGAGGCTCATGGCGTGTAGGGAGGTCGTTCAAACTTGTTTCAAGTATAAAACTGTACTATGATTAGTAAGAAGGCTTCAATACAAATTAGTTAGTAGACTACCCCATGATCTCCGAGTGTAACTTCTGGGGTGCAGCCCGGCCCTACTTCTCTGCCAGTGTTTATACTCAACCATTCCACAATACAGTCTAACTTATCTTATTGGAAAACAAAATCAGAGTTATAAACCTGAAATTTGGACCCTATTTCAAATCCTCAAACACGCCACCCCCCAATCCACCTAGAAAGCAGAACAACCCCCTCACGGGAAAACATACAGCCCAAAGCAGAAAAGGCAAAATGTCAACGCTAGTGACTAGCGGCCTTCACTTCAAAATCAGTCACCGTGGCGGCCGCGATGATGCCACGGATACGGCGAGCTTGAAGGGAAATGACATCGGAGAACCCTGGCAACCCGGCCTCATCCTGCCGATTGCTGTCACGGTCCCCCAAACTTAACGACTCTGCCAGCGGCCCTCAGGGCAGCCCGGCCTAATCGTGACGTGACCGTCCGATCATGGCAGTGACTACTAGGTACGGTACTGAGACCGCAACTCAGCAGTGACTTGCCATAGATGATGATGACGGTGTCGGTCGCAGTGGCCCGGTATTGAAGTTGGCCGCCGCCGTGGTGGGGATTTGCGCAGTGCGGCCATTCTGAAAACCAAAGTTCTGCTTGACGTGCGTGAAAAACCCCAATGTGCAGCCTGCAATCTTCGCGGTTCTGATTCGCTTCCAGTCCTCCAGATCTAATAGAAGATCTTCCGCCCTTGGCCTCTCCTCCGCCGTCTCCGCCCATGACATGATCATCATCTCCTGCAGAATCTTTGGCATGATTCGCTCGCTCAGGACTGCAGGACGGAAGTTGAACTTGGCTGCCATGCTAGCGACTGAGAAGCCGTCGACGTTACTAAAGGGATGCTCTCCCGCGAAGATGTACCACATCACCAGTGAGAAAGAGTACACGTCCACCGCTGCCGTGTACCTGGGCTCACCGCGGAAGATTTCAGGAGCCATGTACCGGAATGTGCCTTTCACCCCTGTCAGCTCGTGGTGTGCATTGAGGCTGATCATGCTTGTGCCGAGTTCCTGCTCAGACCTGGACGTGAGACCATGCTCTGTAGCCGCGGCATCTGAACACTTGCGACTTAGCCCGAAGTCGCCGACCTTGAGGGTCTTGCCATTTGCGGTGAGCAGCATGTTTGCCGGCTTGATATCTCGATGGATCACTGGCGGCTGTTGAGAGTGCAGGAATGCTAGCGCACTCAGAATGTCTCCTACCCATGACATGGCCCTCTCCAACTTGGGTTGCCATCCTCGTCGGGACTTCTTCTTGACCTGGTAGTACTGCTCGAGGCTCCCTCCAACCATCAGCTCCATGACCAGCCATGGCAGACCGTTGTGCTCGTAGATGCCGTAAAACTCCACTATGTTCGGGTGCCTGAATGCATGGCTCATCATCCCGATCTCCTTCACCAGTGTCTTGCCCTCCTCGGAACCAAGGTCAAGCTCTGAGCACACAGTCTTCAAGGCTACAGGGCTCCCTTCGTGCTCTCCCCTCCTTACTTCTCCCAAGGCCCCTTGACCGAGAAGGTCCCCGACTCTCAGCGAGGACCTTCGGATGGCAAAGGTTTCGCACCTCTGGATCTCAGACGTGTGAAGGACGTTGTGCTGAGAGGCAAGCTCGAGGAAGACAGGGCAGTCCTCGTTGAGGGAGGAGGGTGAGCGGAAGATCAACAATTCGGGCCTTGATGACGCATGCTCTTGGGTAGTGCAGACTGTGAGGCCGTGCACGCTTCCTGCCACGGAGGATCCTGACGAGCTGCTCGTGCGGGGTATGGCTGTTTCTCGCTGCATTTGCTATGGTTTGTGCCAGTGAGAGAACACGGGCCCGGAGAGGCCAGGGAGCAAGGGAGCAAGGGAGCAAGGGAGCAAGGGAGCAAGGGAGCAAGGGAGCAAGGGAGTAAGGGAGCAAAGGAGCAAGGGAGCAAGGGAGCAAGGGAGCAAGGGAGCAAGGGAGCAAGAAAGAGGAAGCAGTATCTCTGATAGCAGCTGGAAGGGTTGGAAGGGCGCGGCAGGACTTCTCAGGGTCAACGGGTGTGCTGATTGACGGATGGGGCCAAGGAAGGGGCGGCGATCTGGAAAAACACTTAAAGGAAGTAAACTGGCCAGTCTGCCTCAGAACATTGACTAATGGATTCCGGGGTCACTGAAGGGTATAACTACCAGTCCATTAGAGTAAAAATGTCGAGTTTCAAGGCAGCGAACCAGCTCAGGAAATCGTGAAGTTGACAAAGGGATGAGTTTTTGCATCGTTTGGAATCTGACTTCGATTACTACACGTTGGTTACCGTTTTACCCCGGCAAGTTACCTCAGGGGCTCCACTGAGTCACTATCCGCTCGGATCCGGCGCGGACGCCCGGCACTGGCACTGCGGCGCCGGAAGGCCGCCGGCGGCCGGGCCCTCCCGGGCCTGGGGCAAGTTGCCCCTCGGCGCCGCGGACCGTACCGGGGCCCGGCCGGCCCGCCGCCGCCGGTTACTGAATCATCACCCGGTCTGAAGGCAGTCAAGTCACAGTCCGACCGTTGAACCGTCGTGCCACTGTGACTGGCAGGTCTGCCGGCCCGAGAGCCTTCAGTCACCGTCACCGCCAACTTGCACCGTCCCGGCGGCCCCACTGTCACTGAGCCTGGCACCTATTATATTAACTCAAACGGTTCCGTTTTTACTCACCCGTACGTACCGGGGGAATGGGGGTCAGGCAGAAACGAAGGGGTGGTGGTCAAGGCAGGGTGGGAAGACAGGGGTGGTGGGGTGGGGTGGTATCAAGGAGCCAACATGATTGATTGATGATGATGAGTAAACTTGTGCTGGAGTGCCGTGGGCCCGGGATCTTTTCCTCCAAGACAACATCACTTTGACATGTTCAAAAAGGGTATGAAAGTTTGTCATTATATTACAAATTTAAGAAAAATTATTTCGAATACTTAAATTGAAAGTATCAAATACGAGCAAATATGGGAAATTGTTGTCCGTAATCGGGCTCCACCCTCCTTGCGTCCCCGGGGGGTTTACCCAACTCACCCTGTCCGTCCCTGCAGTCCCCCAGGACCCCCAGGACCTCCAGGGGTAGAGGATATAGAGATTCTCTTAGTACTTCACTTATAAGATACTCTACCTTGAGGGCCAACGCACTCAATTTTTCTTACAATACCCAAGGAGCCGCCAATCACGAAACATGGGGAGGAGCATGCAACGGTGGGAGAAGCATGCAAGGTGCGCCGGGTGTCGTGGACAAGGATCATGGAGGAAGAAGATTGGGTTGTCTGCGGAGTAAGAGCTGAGCGCTTAAGATAACAGCAAGATCTCCCGTTGACTGAAGCTCCCCTGCCGATTCTTGTGCTCCTGTGCGCTGCTTTCAAGGAAGCATTGTTGTGAACGGCCACGTGGCGGTGAGCGGTGATTGTGATCTTGCATCTTCAGACATCAACGTCGCTGCAAAGATATCGAGGGGAAGACAACAGTCAACTGATCTGAGCATGGTTTCTACTCAAAAATTCTCAACTTATTTATTTGCTCTTGTTCTTGCTGGCGCCTTGCAAGGTGCGCTGGCCTTCCGAGCCTCCCATCAATTCGGCACAAGAAGCCTCTCCTCTAAGCATGTGACAATGGCTCGCCTGCGTCAGACTCCGAAACTTGGACGCGCGAATGGGTAGCTCCTGGATGCGCCGCTTGTTCTGCCGATTGACTCGTCACAGGTTTGCCGCTCTGAGAATGCAAGAGTCCAGAACAGAAACAAGCTTCCGGGCAACGAGTCCTCAAGGCGGAAAGGTTGCAATGCTCCTGTTGTTTGCCTCTCAGCACTCCCTGACTGCAGCTGCAGGACACGCCGGACATGCCAGGGGTTGCAGGGCTGGACGGAATATCGACCGCTCGCCTGGTGATTTTGGGTGTCGCCGCGCTGTACGGAACAAACTTCGGCTCCGTGAAGATCCTCGAGTCCAGTCTTGATCCATCAGCAGCAGCGTTTGTTCGCTTCGGGATAGCATCCCTCGCCATGCTTCCTTTATTGAAGAACCTCAGGGTTGAGACGATCAAGCCGGGGCTGGAGATTGGGATGTTTGCATTCTTGGGGTACTTTGCGCAGGGTATTGGACTGCAGACCTGCCATGCTTCTACCATGGCGTTCTTGTGCTCGCTGGCTGTTGTTGTCTGCCCTCTCCTCGATGTGCTGGAAGGCTCCAGGTTGGGGGCGAAAGCCTGGACTTCAGTGGGACTTGCCATAGCAGGCACTGCAGTTCTGGAGCTGGCAGGCGCGGACATGCCTGGGACGGGAGATCTCTGGGCCCTGATCCAGCCTCTTGCGTTCGGAGCAGGTTTCTGGCGGTGTGAGCGGGTCATGCGAGAGCTGCCGGACCAGGCGGCGCCGTTGACGGCGATGCAGATCTTGACGGTGGGGATGATGTCGATGATGTGGATGGTGTCAGACACGGTGATGCATCCAGGAAGCGCAGGCCATGTGATGCAGGAAATCCTCCATTCCTTCCATGACGGGCACCTGCTCCTCGCGCTCCTGTGGACGGGGATCGCAACCACGGCCATTACCGTTGGGCTAGAAACGTGGGCACTGGGCAAGCTAACCAGCGCGGAGACGACGGTGCTGTTCGCGACGGAGCCTCTCTGGGGGACAGCGTTTGCTCATGCTGTGCTGGGAGAGCAGGTGGGATCGAACGCATACCTTGGGGGCACGCTGATCCTGGCCGCATGCCTGTTCCGAGTGGTGGACGGGAACAAGTTGCAGCAGGCTGTGGAGAGCGTGAAGGAGGAGGCAGGACGGGTGGTATCGAGATCTTGGCAGAGCAGTAGGTGGGCCTCCATTCTGAGTGCGAATGCAGCATATGCTCTGACATGGCTGGACGACTCTTGGAACGTCTTGCTGAAACAGTTCCTAGATGAAGTCTGAACCTTGCCCCTTGCCGCTGCTCCTCCTTGTCTGCATCCCATGGGTCGAGTAACAAGGACTTGCTGTCGTGTATTGAGCTCGGGTGTTGTTTGTTGAATCCTCTCTGTCTTGTTCGCTCTCCTTCTTAATCGGTTTATTGGTTCTAATATTTGTTTTGGTTGTAATGAAAGCTTCAGACATTTTCGTCGTCGCCAGCCTCTCTCCCCTCCCCTCAGACCTTCTTGAAGGCGAGCGCGGCATTGTGCCCGCCGAAGCCCAAGTTCTCCGAGATGGCAACCTTGACGGCATGTCAGACAAGGAATGACCAAGAGGAGGCTGGAGTGGGGAGGGGAGGAGGGGGAGAGGAGGAAGAGGAGGAGATGGGAAAGGAGGGAGGCGGAAAAGGGAGGGGGGGACAAGGGTTACACCTTGAGATCGGGGACGGTGGCAGCCTTGTTGAAGGTGTAGTCCAAATCACACTCAGGGTCCTGTGGGAGGTCAGAGGGGATGCGAGGAGAGGAGGAGGAGAAGTGAAGACAAGAGGAAGAGTCAAAGAGAGGAGGAGAAGGTGAAAGAAGAACAAGTGTGCGGGTAATGGATGGGGGAAGCAAGAGACGATGGAGGAAACATGCACGGCGACGGACTGGAGGAGGGGAAGGAGGGAGGATAGAGGGAAGGCTCTACCGCAGTCTTGAAGTTGATGGTGGGAGGGATGACGCCTGTCTCAAGCGCCTTCACTGCTATCACCGCCTCGATGCCTCCTGCGGCTCCAAGCGTGTGTCCCGTCCCTCCCTGTTGCCCTCGTTAGCTCCGCGTTTTGGCGAGTGGGGAAGAGCGGGAAAGAGTGAGAGAGGAGCAGGAGCAGGAGCAGGAGCAGGAGCAGGAGCAGGAGCAGGAGCAGGAGCAGGAGCAGGAGCAGGAGCAGGAGCAGGAGCAGGAGCAGGAGCAGGAGCAGGAGCAGGAGCAGGAGCAGGAGCAGGAGCAGGAGCAGGAGCAGGAGCAGGAGCAGGAGCAGGAGCAGGGACAACCTTGGTGGAGGAAACCTTGAGCTTCTTGGCTCCTTCCTCGCCGAAAACAGCCTGTTCCAATCGTCATGCGAGCAAGGGAGAGCTGGAGAGTGAGGAGGGGGAGGATGTATGGAGAGAGAGAGTGAAGAACATTGATTGAAGTGCAAGTACAACAGCACGGGGCAAAGGGCAAGACGGATGCACAAATAGGAGATCAGAGCAGGGGGAAGAGATGTGTCTCCTCAGTTGGAGTTGGGAAGGAGAGATGGGTAGGGAGCGGAGAAGGAGGAGGATGTAAGGATGCTGGGATACGAACAAGGTCGAGGAGGAGGAGCAAGGAGGTCGAGGAGGAGGGGCAAGGACCTTGAGCGCTAGCGTCTCGAACTTGTCGTTGTAGGCAGTGGAGGTGCCGTGAGCGTTGACGTATCCAACCTCCTCCTTGTTGATTCCTCCGCTTCTCAGCGCTGCCTCGATGGCCCTGGCGAGCCCGGCGCCTCCTGGAGCAGGTGTGGTGATGTGGTACGCGTCGCAACTCGCTCCGTATCCTGCGGACCATGTCAACAACCTTCCTCCTCTCATTTCGTTTTGCTCCAATCCTCACCCTCTCCCCCTTCCCCCCAGCAAGCCAACCCTTGTCCGTTCCTTATCCTCGAATTCCTCCTCCTCCTCCTCCTCCTCCTCCTCCTCCTCCTCCTCCTCCTCCTCCTCCCACTGTTCTTCTCTTTCTCTTCCTTCCTCTTCCTCCTCCTCCTCCCGACCTGCGAGCTCCGCATAGATCTTCGCTCCTCGCTTCTCCGCGTGCTCGAGTGTCTCAAGCACCAGCACGCCTGCTCCCTCTCCCATCACAAACCCGCACCTGTCGGCATCGAATGGCCGGCTGAAAGCGAATCAGACAAGGCAGCAGCTGAGGAGAAGTAGCACAAGGAGGAGCAGGAGATGGAGAGGAGGAGGAACGAGTGAGAGTGGAGAATGAGGGGTTGAATGGAGGGAGAGATGTATAGCCAGAGAAAGACCCAGAGGAGGGAGAAGAGGAGGAAAGCAACGAGGAGGAGCAGGAGAACGAGGAGGAGCAGGAGAATGAGGAGGAGCAGGAGAACGAGGAGGAGCAGGAGAATGAGGAGGAGCAGGAGGAGGAGAAACGAAAGCTCTTCACCTTCCCTCAGCTGGCTTGTCGTTGAACTGGGTGCACATCGCCTTCATGGCGCAGAAACCGGCGAAAGACAAGGGGGTCACGGCCGCTTCGCTTCCTCCAGCCACCATCACGTCGGCGTCTCCCCGTCGCAGGGCGTTCAGCGCCTCCCCGATCGCGTGCGATCCCACGGCACATGCTGACGTCACACCGAAGTTGGGCCCCTGCGCTCCCAGCTCGATCCCGATGATGCCAGAGGCCGTGTTGCCAAGGAGGGCGGGGATGGTGAAGGGAGAGACCTTCTTGGGGCCTCCTGCTGACAGCTTCAGCGTCTGCTCCTCGAACGTCGCCATCCCTCCGAAGGCTGAGCCGACCATAACGCCCATGCGTGACTTGTCCACCTTGCCGAGGTCGAGTCCGGCGTCCCCCACCGCACGACGAGCGGCAGCGACGGCGAGGTGAGTGAACCTGCGAAGCTGTCAGATGCTCAGCTCACTCAGCTCCTCCTCGATTCACTGCTTTACGATCCCGTTCCTAATCGTGTTTCCTCCTCCTGCTCCTCCTCCCCCCCCCTCTCCTTTCCTCCTCGTCCCTCCATCCTCACCTATCGTTGGATTTCGCCGTCTTGGCGTTGGTGAAGAAATCGCCGGGGGTAAAGTCGCCGACCTGCGATGCGATCTGGCACGTGTAGTCCGACGGGTCGAAGTGAGAGACGCGCGCTATGCTCGTCTTGCCCTCCACCAAGTTGCTCCAGAACTCCCCAAGCTCCTGCCCGAGGCCCGACATGACCCCCAGCCCGGTCACCACCACCCGCTTCTTAGGGTCCGCCGACATGTCCAGGGCCAGCGCGCGACGGGAGCGAGCATGGCGGACACTCTGAGTCTGCAAAACTGGTGACGACAGGAAGAGGTCGGCAGGAGGGAAGAGATAGAGGGTGGAAGGATGAAGAAGGGAACAGGGTCAAGAAGAAGCGTAGGGGGAGAGGGGAGAGAAGGAGGAGGTTGGGATGGGAGAGTAGAGGGGAGAGGAGAGAGGGAGAGAGGGAGACGGGGAGAGTGGGAGACGGGGACAGGAGAGAGGAGAGAGGGAGAGAGGGAGAGAGGGAGAGAGGGAGAGAGGGAGAGAGGGAGAGAGGGAGAGAGGGAGAGAGGGAGAGAGGGAGACGGGGAGGCAAGTGAGACCTTGCTGCTCTGAAGGGCGAGAGGAGACATGTGGAAGCAGGACGACACTGAGACCAAGGAGAGCACGCAGAATCCGCGGGCTAAGGAGCGCAACATCCTGCTAGGAAGAGTCAATAATCAGAGGAGTGCAGATTTATGAGATTGTGTCGTGTCAAAGATGCCTATCCCTTTCCATACCCGCGCACGTCTCCTTTAGCTCTCAGATACTATCGAATCGTATGCCTGAATTCGAAGACCGCCATGGCCACTATCGCTCTCCCACTGGTCCTCCCTGCAGTGTTGACTTGCTCTGAAATCCTTCTATACACGTTCCTGCAATCTTCTGTCCCCTGCTCCCTCCCTCTCTCCCTCTCTCCCATCTTCGTCCTCGCCTTTCTTGCATCAGGCCTCCATTTTCTGGACCCCTTCCATCCTCCACCCTGCTCCTTCCTACTAATCTTTCCCTCCTTCTCTGTCTTGCTCATCATCTCACGCACAATCATCCTGACTGGCATCATCTTCCTCCTCCTCTCTTCTCCTCTCCCCCTCTTCCTCTTCCCAGTCCTGCCCTCCGTTCTGGGGGTTGTGCATTTCACATGTAAGGGGATCCGCCGAGGTGAGCTCGGCCTCTGTGATTCCCCCGCGCTGGCCTGGCGGCCGGAACAGTGGGCCCGGCCCGGCGGGGCCCGGCGGGGCCCGGGCCCGGTCCGATCCAATGCCCGGCCCGTAGTACCGTACGGTGCCAGGAGTCCCGATCCCGGACCGGGAGTCCGAGTCCCGGACTCAGTCGCAGCCGCCGCCGCGCCGGATTCCCGGGGGAGTCCAGTCAAGTTAATCACTGTACTACTCAGTACGCAAGACGGTCACGGCCCGAGTGTCGGAGCCTACGGTAGTACCGAGCCTCGGCGCCTGGGCGCGCACCGGCGGTGTGCCGGCGGGGTTTACTCGTGACCGGATGGGATAACAAACAGTTCAATCCATGGTCAACAATAACATCTGATCGCCTCTGACTAGTATACATCTCACATTCAATTGTATCGCTGAGCCTGATCGGCTGAGCTCCACTGCTTCTTCTTCCCAGACGTCAGTCATCAGCTTCAGCCCAGATCGCGAGTCTCCTCCGCGATCGCTTCTCGCAGCCTGGCAAGGCTGCAGCCTTGTCATCCACAAGAAGCAGGGCAGGAAGGTCGCTCACCTGTCCTCCTCCTCGTTGTCCTCCCCTGCCTCCTCGTCCTCCTCCGACTTGGACGATTCCAGCGAAGCTTCTTGCTTGCTCTGCATGCTCGTCAGCTCATTCCTCCTCCTCTTCTCCTCGCACACACCCGCAGGCTCGAAGAATCCTCCGCTGAAAGCCGCGAGTCCTGCTGGACAGAGAGAGGGAGAGAGAGAGAGAGAGAGAGAGAGAGAGAGAGAGAGAGAGAGAGAGAGAGGAGGGAGAAGGTCATGCTGATGGTGTGGGAGTTGCTGTGGGGGGGAAAGGAATGTGGAGAGGAGGAGAGGAGGCAAAGGATGACGGGGCCTGTGGGGAAAGGAAGACAGGAAGGAGGGGGAACCAGAAGGGAGAGGGGAGGAGAGCGGAAGAGGAGAGGAGATGATGAACGAGAAGAGCAGTACAAGGGAAAGCAGCGAACAGGATGAAAAATGAGCGGGGAGGGGAGACGGGATGAGGGAAAACCTTTGAGCGCTTTCTCTGTCCTCCAACCCTTACGATCTCCTTCCCAGGTTTGCCGTGCCTGTCCTCTTGTCATGCACATGCAAAACCCACGACAAGTCACCTCTCGTAGTAGATCTGCTCCACCGCGCTCTTCATTGGGGCGGAGAAGTTGAGGTACTGCCCAGCAGTTCAGTGCAGAGGAGGACGGGGAGGGTGGGATGAGGAGGGGGAGGGGGAGGGGAGGAGAGGAGAGGAGGAGAGGAGGGAGGGGAGGGGACCGGAGGGAGGAAGGAAGGGGGAGGAGAGGGGTGAGGGGAGAGGGGAGGGAGAACGGGAGGGGGATGCAGCACCCTGTTGTAGTTGGGAGGATGGTCGTCCATGCGCATGATGAACTCGAGGTCCTCTGACGGGAAGAAGACGGTGAGCAAGAAAGCCAACAGATTCGCGCTGAGGATGCGGAGGGTGAACAAGGAGCAGGCAAAAGGACAGGCGGAAATAAGGAGAGGAAGAGAGGGGAAAGCGTGTAGGGAGGAGGAGGAGGAGGAGGAGGAGGAGGAGGAGGAGAAGCACAGACAAGACTCAAGAGCAGGAGCACTGTTGTCAGCAGGAAAAGTACAGAAACGAGCGGCAGATGTCAGAGTCGCTCACCGAGTATCAGCCCGTGCGCGTCCATCGAGTCAACGACAAACGGAGCGACAATGCTGATGAGGGTTTGGTTGGTACCCGCCATCTCCTGTGAAGAGGTCAGGAGGGTGACAAGGGGGATGAAGGCGAGGAGAAAGCGGGAAAGGTGGGAGAGTGAGGAGGAGGAGGAGGAGTGGGAGGAGGAGGAGGAGTGGGAGGAGGAGGAGGAGTGGGAGGAGGAGGAGTGGGAGGAGGAGGAGGAGTGGGAGGAGGAGGAGGAGTGGGAGGAGGAGGAAGAGTGGGAGGAGGAGGAGGAGGAGTGGAAGGAGGCAAACCATGGGATGTCCTAGCCATGCCGCAAGCTCCGGGATCCGATGCCTTCTGACTGGGGCAAATGTCAGAAGGGAGGCATGCTGTCCGACCTCGTTGGGCGCCCAGACCTTCTGAGGGGAACAACATTTCATCTGCGAGGAAGCAGTGAGTCAGCAGTTGCCGAGCTGAGGGCCGTGAACGAGACGAGGGTTTTCAATGCAAGCGAGAGCGGTCTCCTGCATCTTACACGCGCTTCCTTGCAACACAGACATCGCTCGACACTCTAACAAATTCTCATCCTATCCCATCAGCACAAGCACTCCTCGTCCTCGTCCTCGTCCTCATCGCCCTCACCAGTCGCCTTCATAAGCCTGTGGGTCATCGCTTCCAGGTGCTGGTCCATCTCCGTTAGCTCCCAGCAGTTGAAACACGCGGAGCAGGAGGAGAAGAATGAACGAGGAGGGCAGAGAGAACGAGGATATGGAAGAGGGTGGCAAGAGGGGGGCAGCAGCAGCAGCATCAGCATCAGCATCAGCATCAGCAGAAGCAGCAGAAGCAGTTTGAGAACGAGGAGGAGGAACCTTTTTGTCCCGCTCGAACGCCCTTTGCCTCGCAAACTTGGTAGGAAACCGCATCCTTCCTACGGCCCAGGGAGTCAGCTCCGTCCCTCCCGCTCCCCCGCCTCGTCTCCTCCCTTCTCCGCGCATGCCGCCAGCACCTTCCAGCTTTCCTTCCAGGTAGTATCCAGGGAAGACGCACGTCTCCAGCCCGATAAACATCCACAGATCTTCCCAGGAAGGTCAGCGTGACATGCGGCTGCTGCTTGCTAGGTTACCGCGCTCCAAAGGGTGCCTCTGCAGGTACTCCAACATCTGCTTCCCTGCTCCCCCCTCCTCGTCAGACGCAGGTCGCAGAGCAAGCAGCAGTCTGAGTTGCCTCGGCGGATGCATTTTTTCGCCTCCTCCACGGCAAGTTGCTGCGATGAGCGGCGCGTCACCTCCTGGCGGCCCGGGAAGCTCAGCAGGGACTCACCTGCGCCGTTTCGTTTGGCCTGTTTGGCGATCGATAGCTCTCCATGTTCTGCCGCGAAGCTTACTTTCAGCATTTCTTCTCCTCCACACACACCCCTCCCCTTCCTTCTCCTCCTCCTCCTCCTCCTCCTCCTCCTCCTCCTCCTCCTCCTCCTCCTCCTCCTCCAGCTTTCCTCCTCCACGAACGCCGGAAGGAGGAAGGGTTCTTGGTAGAAGTTCTGCAGCTTCTGTTTGATCGGAATGTCCAGCTGCAAGCTTATCAACCTCCACATCCTCTCCCCCACATCCCCAACACCTTGAAGAACGAGTCCGCGAGCGTGAAGACCGTCAGACTGCCATCACGTCAGCCGTTGAGATCCCTCCCCTCTCCTGCTCTGCCCAGCCCTGCCCTGCCCTGCCCTGCCCCTCCCACCTCCTCTTCCCTTCCCTCCCCTCCCGTTCGCACCTCTTTCCCTTTCCTACCCATCTCCATCTCCCTTCCTTTCCCCGCTCCATTACCTCTCATGCGTCTTGCCCATTTCCATGTACTTCTTCCGGACCTGTGGGCTTGTCAGCTGGGGTCTACCATCCAGCTGGGGTCTACCATCTCCAGCGTCAGGACGTCGCTGCTGCTCCTGGCCAGCTGCAGGATGTTGATCATGGTTCTCAAGTCTCCATTGGCGATCTTGGAGGGTCAAAACATGTCAGTCGGGGGTGTGCGGGGGGATGGGGCGCGAGACCTCGGCGATGGTGAGGAGGGCTGAGTCTTCGACGTTCTTGAATTGCTCAAGGCGGCAGACCTCTTCACAACAACACATCAGCGGGAATGCCCTCAACATGACAATCTCAATGGATTCAGTCAGCTCAGCATCATCTCCATCATCTCAGCCACCGCAAGATCTCCACCATCTCTTGCTCTATCCCCTCCTCCACCACCAACACCAACAAGCGCTCGCCGCCCCACCTTTCAACCTTGGGAGCACCTCCCTCCCCTTGAGATGGTAGAAGCGAATCCTCAGCGCCCTGCTGGCCCAATAAGGACGAGCAAGGTTCGATCCTCCTCACTCGCCTTGACAGGAGCGGGCGGACGCACTTGGCATGCTCATCGTTGCAGATGCAGATGATGGGGAGCCTGTCACGCTGACCGTCCGTTAGGAAAATTTCTCTTCAAGGGAGCATGCAACACCTTCGACGTCGCCAGCTGTATCAGTTTCTGGACTCCTCCCTTTTCCCCCGACGTCATTCCGTCCACCTGCCGCCTTCCGTCACCCTCCTGCTCCCTGGCGACCTCGACGCTCCCACCTCGTCCATGATCAGGAGGAGAGGCTTTGATTTCTTCACCACCGCAGTCCCGCGAGGAGCGAAGAAATCTTGGCAGGCACGCGTGAGAGAGGAGGTCGGATCGATTGGACCCTCCATCACTTACTCGTAATCGGCTGATTCCCCATCATCCCGCCCAGCACCTGGTCGATCTCCTGCGAGCTCACCAGGTGAGGGATGAGGGCAGTACGCGGAGCTTCTCACGTCTGCGCTGCGATCATCGGAGGCGTTAATCTCGACGATCTCGAAGCCAAGGAAACTGCGAGCAAGGCGTCAGGGCTGACGAGAGTGCAGGCGACGGGGGCGAGGGGGAGTTGTGGTCACTTGGCCAGGACGTGGGCGATCGTCGTCTTTCCAAGACCCGGAGGGCCTGTCATGAGGATGATATTCTGCTGCTTCCCGTCTTGGTTCGAGCCCTTGCTCTCTGGGAGGAATCCCTTCAACCAGTTGGTGATCAACTTGACCTGGTTGGTGTGCCCTGCACTCTATCTCATCTCCCAGGCTCCCCGCTTCCTCCTCCTCCATCTCCTCCTCCTCCACCCTCTTCCTCCTCCTCCATCTCCTCCTCCTCGGAAAATACCTTAAAACCAGCTCGGACAAACAGGACCCGCTTTGCCCCCTCCCATCAGGTTCCACCACCTTGGTCATCCCCCACCTCCCTCCACTCCTTATCACGGAGAGGATCACTATACTGATGTTATTCTTGTTTGTAAAGTTAATCCGAGAAAGAAGAACAACCTCTACGACGACATCCGAATGTCCGCTCAGAAATCTTTTCACCACCACAACTTTTACAGTCTTGGGATTGTTCATCTTCTTCTCCTGGCACGATTGTCACTTTCAGCTGGACGGCGGAGTCGTGATGGTATTTTTCCTTATAGTAAATAGAAAAATCCTTGGTGGGGGTCCACTTT